GGGCACTTCCAACTACACCACTCCTTTCGAGCTGGGTAGTTCCTGGTGCCATTTGACATACCATCGTCGCACCCTCGACTGTGTTGGACACAGCATCAATTACATAAGCCTCTCGCAAGAGCACATCCTTTCCGGTGTCTTGCGTAGAGCTAGCGACTGTGCGTGTACGCCAGTCTATCCATGGTTGGTGTTTAGCCAACCAAGGCATGCCTAGGATGAGGTCATACGGACTCTCCATACCTAGCACTGTGAACTTCTCTTTACAGGAGAAGTCACTGAAAATGAAGGCGAGTTCAACTTGAACTCCCTCCGATTTGACGAGCACATCGTTCGCTAAGCGAACGGTCGCCTCTTCTCGCTTGTCATCCTGGCAAAGCGACTCATAACTCGCCGGTCTCTTTTTTCAGAGCCGCGAGTTTCACAAAGTTTTGTGATGCACCCGAATCCACGAGAAGGGTCATCACTTGGTCATAGCCTCGTACTCGAGCGCTATAGACCAAAAGGGTTGAGGTCCGACCTTTCGGAACCTCAGGGACTATGCTACCCATTTGTTCGATCACTCTGAGCTTAGGGGTAGCTTCAGAGTCCGCGACAGTAGGGCATCCCGCCCCTACTGCGCTCCCGCATTTCCCGACCCATCTTGGGCAGGTGCTGAGCCCGTGCGTCGTGCACGCTGGTTTTTCACACCTCCCTTCGGGTTGGGAGACCTTTTGCTGGCTGCCTTAGCACCAGCATCTACTTTGGCATAGCAGCGAGCCATCATATGGCCTCGCTTGCCGCACTTGTAGCAGATCACATCTGCATTGCCTAACTCCATAGGAGTGGCATCCGACTTCTCGGACGACGGCCTGTAATAGGCTGTCGTCGAGGCGCTGTTGTAGGATTGCTCCCCAACTAAGGCAATGTCAATTGCCTCTTCCATCGTCGCTGGCACCTTTCTGAAAAGGGCCTGACGCGATGGGCCATGCCTAAGTCCATTCATGAACGTGGCTACTTTGATACGCTCTGGTATCTGTTCCCCATTGATGGACGCCGACAGCGAACGCATCTCCTGCACGAACTCTTGCAGAGAGCGTTTCGCCTGTCGTGCTCCCAAGAAGCGCGCCATAAGCAACACTTCGTTGTTAGGCGGCTGATACATGGCGCGAATCTTTGCCTTAAAGATCGCCCATGATGGAAATGCATCAGCATTAGCCATCAGCGCAGAGTATGCCCACTCTGACGCTTTGCCACGCAAGTTGGACATGGCATACGACACCATTCTGGTGTCGTCTTCGATGAGCTGCGCCACTCCACATTGCTCCACTGCTAATAACCAGTGAACAATCGTGTGAGGGCTAGTTCCATCGAACTTCGGAGGGTCCATCCGAATGGGCCTCGGTTGAGCAGGCCGGGCAGAGAGCGTCTCAACAGTTCTGTTGAGCGCCTCATTACGTGCTTGCTCAAGCCTAAGCTCATCCTGAGTCTTAGTGATGGACTCAGAGGTGGCTTGACTGTTTACCTCGGACGCGTTTCTACTCTGTCCGAGCACAATCGCCTCAAATTGCTCCAACTGAGCAACATGTTGCTCAGGAGGACAACGCAAGAGGTTGACCAGGGCTTGTTCACCAAGTCCCTGCGCCATATGCTCTGCCAACTTCCTATGATGTTGGGAGAGGTGAGGGAAGTCACTCCAGTCCATATTAAGGACCATATCAACCACACGCACGCTCAGAGAGACGGGTCGTGGGAAGGACTACTAGTGCTACCAAGTGTAGACGGGCACTTCTACGAAGTTGCCTCGTACTACTAGCACACACCTTATGCACAAGCGAGGAAGCGGTTATACCGTCTTACCTTCGCGTGCGAGGGTGGTTGGGAGGTTGGTCGACTGCTTAAGCAGTCGTACCACCAGTTGCCTCTCACTCAAGCGAGAGTGCAACGAACTTCTTAACACTAAAGCACGGACGTCACGCAGAAGTCTTTCGGCTTCTCGTGCGTGGTGCGTTTGTTTAAGTAAATTCAAGACTGAGCTATATTTAATTAATTATAACTAAATATATACTTAACTACTGATTGGCTATATATATATATATATAGATCGGATACGCGACTCTTTAGAAGCGTATCCTGTCGCATGATCTTAAATCTAGAGATTCAAGATCGCAACTGACGTCCTTCTGAGACGTCGCGATGCCTAGCTTCAACTAGCGTCATCCCTTCTTATGTGAATCCATAAATGAATATCACATTCACGAGGGTGGATCACATTTGTGTATCGCACCCAAGTGACAGGTCAAAAGTAATTATGGATACTTTTAGACCAAACATTAAGTATATTACTTAATGTTTACGTGTAACTAGATACCCTGTTACATGTTGGAACGCGACACTTGCGTCGGTAACGCAAATAGCGTCACGTGTAGTGCACCAATTGTATCACGAATGATTAAAAGCTCAGAGGTGGAGCCATGGTCGGTACTGGGGTTGAGAGTAGCCAGAGCATGTTGTAGAAGTAGAAGATTGGTTCGAGATGAAACTCAATCGTATTGGACGAAGCGGTTGTTAGCGTTTGTTGGAGGAAACTATTGGCGATGCCTTGGTACTGCAATGTGTTCAAGGACTCGACGACAAGTACGCGGTTTACGCGCTTTTGGAGAGAGGACAGGGAAGTGAAGTGCACCATTTTAAGGGGAAAATATTGAGATATCTTCTTTTTGGCTGCTTCGTGCGAATACAAAAGTGAGACGAGAAAATGAGACAAAAAGGAAAGTTGGAAATGGATCTCATTTTGAAGTAGATAGAGGATGACTCATGTGAATGATACAGACGAGTGACATTCCCTCTCCACAACTCGTTTTGAAAAAAAACACAAGCTCACCAAATTTGTATATGATACCTCACTACAGCAGACCCATTCAAAATTCCATGTTGGTTCAACAGACGAAATACTACGACAGGTTGGCTGTCCTACGAAGAAAGGCAGAGCAAAAGCTGAGATGGAAGGGGCTATGTTCTTCTTGAAAGGGCACTTGGGTTTGACAGCCTCACACGTTTACAATAATCTTCGGACACACGAAAGCCTCGTTGATACTCCTCTCGCTCTCGATCCACGTATCTGTATCAACTGTGCGCTCGATCGACACTGTCAAGAGCATTCAAAATTGTACTTGAAATGTAGCGCTCGATACAGCAAAAGGACGAAAAGCTACGACGGAATTGGAGTCGAGCCCCCTCTCGATGACGAAGAGGCGCTATCCACAAAGCAGCAGAGAATAAAAGATGAGCAGCTGCTTCTGAACCATGAAGATGAATCGCTGGTGTATGCAAGATCTTTGCCGCTATTGATGCAGAAACCTGTTGCGCTGGGTAGTTGGAGGCCCCGGCGTATTGCTCCTCTTGGTGGTTTTCGTGGTTCAAGGAAGCTCTTTACAGGCCCCACGCGTGACCCGCTTAGCGACCGAGACAACCACGTGGATGAAGATGTTACCAACTGACGTTGTCTGTAAGGACTAATGGTTTACTCGGTATATTTGAAGCTGAAAATCTACGTAGGTCCTTAGTTCGCTACCCTGTGCTACCTCTAAGCCTACTCATCTAATTCCTTCTAGAAGCTTCGTAGTGACGTCATCTAATGACGCGAGACTGTGACGCCAGGCTGTGGCGTCATGGCCTATCCACTATGTGTAACTCTAACACACGCTCTGTAGCACCGCACGTACCTTGCGACCTGACATCTCCCCGGACTTGACTTCGCGTTGGCGGTCTCGAAAGTCCTGTACTAGTCGCTGCCAATGCGAAACGTGGCGGATAGCTTTCTCGCGTTCCCAAGTACTATTACACTCCGGCAGGCCGTGCCATATTACTAACCATTCTATTTGACGGCTGCGCTGACGACGACTAAGCAACCTTTCCACAATGTGAAATTCTTTACCGGTATCTGCCTCTAGGATAACCGGTGATGTTTTTGGAATCGGTCGTCCAGCGAACTCAGAGGCATTCGGCTTTTAATGGAAAGAGTAAGTCGACGTTAAACGATGAGTGCAGTTTCTTCCAATTTCGTGGTAGCTTCAACTTCGCTACATTCGGGTTGATCATCTTGATTATCTCAAACGGTCCAACTTTTTTGGCCGCGAGCTTTGCTTTCTTTAACCAAATGTGAGCGTTGACTGTCCTCAACGGTAAATTTTTGGTATCCAGTAGAACTAAGTCACCGACATTAAAGGTGAGGTTTGTTCTTTTAGAGTCGTAGTACTTAGTCTGTCTTTGTTGGGCTTGCTCTAGGTTTTTTTCGTGCCTTACGCACTACGTCTCGACGATCTTTGGCGAACTTTGAAGGAAACTCTGAGATTGGTTGTGGGCCCAGACCATCGTATTCTTTGTATTCGTGAGAATCAAATTGGGACCTTTCTTCCGGTATCGATCTCAAATGGGTTAAGCCAATCGCATGAGCGTGGATCAAGCTGCTGATAGATATCCGTTGTTTTTCTCACAGTCCTTGAAGGGCGCATGTTGCTTAAGAACCTCACAGATCAGAACGCTAACGTGATCGTGCAAATGCCCGATTTTTTTAAGCGTGTTGAAAAGCTTGTGACTGGAGATTCTGTGACTTTGGAAACCCTGAAAAGTGTGCTGATGTACCAGTTTATCAGCGCCAAGGTAGGTTTCGTCAGCGAATCTTTCATTCAAGCGAAACTTCTCCATTTATGATCGGACTGTTGGCGGTCAGAAGAAGCGTTCCATGTGATGGAAGGAGTGCCTGTACCATTTTACCAACACATTTCCTGATTTACTGAGCAAGTATATTGCGCACCTCGAGTTCAACAAGGCCAGTGAGCACCTTGCCAGCCAACTTGTGGCGCAAGTTCAAGCGTCGATGCAGAAGAACCTCAAGCAGGCGGATTGGCTGGACAGGTCCACTTGACAGGCCGCTGTCGAAAAGATAGGCACCATGACCAATCTTATTGGGTACTCGACTCTCGCCGAGCACTTTCCGTACGAACTACGCGGCGACGCACTACATGCAGAGAATATGCGGGATCGTCATGAAGCATCGGTATAATCGAGATATAGGACGGGTCGGTGGTCTATTAAACCGCAACGAATGTACAACGACGCGTGTTAAAGTAAACGCGTAGTGTAACCCGACTTAAAACCAGATCGTACTTCCAACTCCAGTCGCCATTTTTCGCTTTTAAATACCACCTGCACGCAGCTTTACTTCTATTGGTTGTATCATCGGTCACGAACTCACGCATGGCATTGATAACTCTGGAAGATACTACGCTGGTGACGGTATCTTGCGGAACTGATGGAGCAACGACACAGCAAACAAGTTTTGATGAAGCAATACAATAGTTTTGCAGTGACGAGTTATACAGATCAGGATAAGGCGCTGTGTCAGCTATGATAGAATATAATCTGTATTCACAATAAGTTTGTTCTGTAGCTGCTCAGACAATCATGCGGCAGCAATGTCATGACAGGGTAACTCAGCGGTGCAAACACACGCACGGCTCTAAATAAGTTTCTCTTCACACCAGGCTTGTAGACTAGTCAAATCCCAACGATGTGTTGTCCACGTTTCAATATGGACTCGAAAAGCGCGAGTAGTAAGTGTATTTCAATCGATGTTGAACCCTGAGACTGATGCCGGCTTCAACATTTTCTCGCAACGTCGTTTATTGCTCGAGACCCTTGTGGATCATTAAAAGTGGTTTCGACCATGTAGACGCCACATGTACTTTGCGTTTGGGCAATTAATCGAGTAGAGAGAAATTCTGGGTACCCTCTAGAAACACCGGAGCACTTCAGTATCGTGACCTGATCCCACCACACCACTGAATACAGCATCGGATGGCTCAGGTATATTGTCGCACTATGGCTGTGTATCTACCTCGGCAAAAGCCGCACCGAGTGTCAACGTTAAGGAATAGGAAGCGTCACCCAATACTGACAGCGCTTTGCCATCTTATGCGGCGACAATACACGCCAAATCCCTAGCCTTTGTCACACTTATCATTGCGCAGGTGAGTGTCGTTGTTCGGTAGGGTGAATAATACAGAGTAGGGAATATTGAACACGGAACACTTGCTTCCCACTGAGCAACTTTGGGATTGAGGAGGGAAAAACCTCGTAGGTGACAACCCCCTCTGTTCGACTAGACTACAGTCGATACCAACAGGTATACCTCAACTGTCAACGGAACGATGCGTCCCAGCATCATTCGACTAACTGTTCGATGTCCCACCTAGAATCAGGGACACGACATCTTGTACTTCGTCACAGCGTTTCCACGCCATTACCGACGCTTCGTGCCCTGCTTCATCGCTTCACACGCTTCAACGGTGTTCCGTCGTGACATCTCCCCGTCCGTGTGTCGTAATGCCCCGACCCAAGACGATTGACATCAAGGCCGTCGAAGCTTTGTATGAGGCTGGTGGCGACTGGAGCCAGATTACCGCTTCGATTGACCGAGCCTGTCCATACGTACAACCTCGTGCGTTATGTGTGGTCATCGAAATAGGCACGCCTTCCGGCGCACTGCTTTAGGAAGATTTTCGTGTCGCTGCTCAAGAACCATGGCATCCTATTTTCCAGCAGCAGAATTACTAGCAACAACTCGATCAGCTGACCAAGGCGCCGGTGGCATAGTTCGCGTGAAGATTAAGGTTGAAGAAAGCTTGCCAATGTCTTACCGACCAAGATTCTAATTCTTGGTTTTTAAGCACCGATCTGGCGAGTTTGACAACCTCGCCGACCATTTCTTCATTTACGTGTCGAATATTAATAGCATCTTCGATGCTGACCTCATGCTAAGCGTTTCTTCGAGCTAGATGAATGGCCATCTTACGGTACCCTCCGAGATGTAAATTTAGCCGCGGTTCACCACCGCCACTTGGCGTGTGTACTTTCGATCCGGACAATACCCTACGGAACTCGTTGTAAGCCACACTCTGTGCGACTAACTCGTGTTCAATGGGCATATCTACCCGATTTATGATATAAACGCTTTCATTTCAATTCAACGTCTGCCGTTAGGTCAACGCTCACACATGCGCTGGACTTAGCTGCACCCGCTTTCCCGCTTCGCGCTAACACTCACACATGCGCTGGACTTAGCTGTATCCGCTCTCCCGCTTTGCGCTGACACTCACGCCATACCGAGCTTAAGGCATTCACAGTCATCGAATGCTGCCGTGGTCCATCGTGGCGCGTAGGCGACTTCACTTTAGCAATTTGATAGACTCGCCTATCCTAGACGTCCACAGGTGAAGCTTCACATGCTGATTCAGTTTGAGCGGGTTGTTCGTCGGCTCAGTGGACCCCATGTCATGTCCCGATCCATCCAGTCCGACATCGTCTAGGTTGCTTCTGCTTTCGCCCCCCCCCCTCCCCCGATCACAAGCGCCCGCTTCCTCCAATGCATTAGTTCTTGCGAACGGTGGTAAACGCAAAGGCAAATGTTTCGTGCTGATGAAGACTTTGCCAACATGCTGATGAAATCTTGTCCGAAGCATTTTGCTGGCATCACGACGAATAATTACATTGACGTGCTGCGCACCGGTGAGGTTTGAGTACGGCTGCTGTTTAGCGATATTGGACGATATTACTCATCCGAGATTTCAGATCGTTCTGCGAAACGTACAGGCTCCGCCTTATCTGGCTGCCAGCAAGGCAGAAAGTTACTTCTTGAGTAAGCATACATCAGCGTGGTATAAACTTAGGAGCCCAGTTCAATCCAAAAGATAGTCAGCGAGATAAAAGCTGCTAAAGAGGCGGCTAATCTCCGGCTGCTTCCGGATCATTTAGCAGCTGCCGATGCCATGATGGGCGGCTTCCAGGTATTACTTCACACAGTGATGCTCGTCTGAGGTGAAGGCGTCATCAAATGACGTCAAAATTGTTTCCTGTGACCAAAATACTATGTCCCTAAAGATAGTGTCGACATTGAAGTGTCACTTGCTGATTGGCCAGAGCATTAGAATAAATCTAGAGAGAAGAACAGACCGTCTATTTCAAACATTAAGGATTGGTAAGATGTCTGGAGTGCTTCTACCAGGACTTCGTCATTCTTCGCCTCGCTGGCTCAATCTGCTGGCTCGAGACGTCGGGCGTCACGGGGGACACTCCGAAAAGGGCACGTGGAATCGGGTATCCAGCCCGAGGTGTAAACAGTGGCTCAATGATCGCAACAAGCGCCGGGCACCACACCGATCAGTCCCGATCGACCGCTGATGCACCTGGACGGGGCCGATCAATTCACGTTCTTGGCAAGTTCACTTCGTGGGACCGAGATTCGCGCTCGGCGATCGAATCGGCGGCTTGAAGGCTGACGTAGAATAGCAGGAACTATTGGGGAAAGAGGGAATGATAACCGCGGTCATCGATCCTCTCCCCCCGGGGGTAACAGGGTTGGTGCTCCCCTTACGGTTCGCACGCTGCGCTTGCCCCCCATAGCGCACGCAGCAGAGGGAAAACCTCCCCCCTCTTATCCTGGGCCTCCCGTTGGAGGGACTTCCCGCCCTGGTCGGAGGGGGCCGGTTGACCGGCTCTTTGAAGGTCTTCGTCTCTTGGCCGTTGTTGCTCGAAGGCTCGAATTGGGAAGTGATTAGAATAAATCTAATCAGCAAGGTCCAAATCGATTTGTTGCTAGAGTATAAAAACTACAGGTCAGCTGATAGAATCTTGTGGGCTTCCAAGTTTGGATTGGCAGCTGCTTACGAGTTCGGATGACCGAGGAGCATTGATGTTCATTTCCCCAATTGGCATTGCAACCATCACATCATACCTGCATTTATCAAGGACTACGCACCATGAACATATTCTACGGACTGGTAATCTCAGCTATGGTTCTGCTGTGCGAGAATCCTGCAATGGGTGCTACACGCAGTCTTCGTGAAACTGCTATGCAATTGTACCCTTCTTAGCCTGTCGTCCCGATGCATATTGAAAAATCGGGCGATTTTACACCTCACTCGCATCCTTAAATGGCTTTTGGAAATTCGTTCGATCGTTCACTTTGCTGTCAAGTTGTCATTATGGCTTGTAATGTAGGAAATCGAGACTAGCACTCATGACATTAAATGATAATACACGTTAGGCGCTGATGCGGAAAACGCCTATGACTCTTGCTTCATACTGTGTTTATTGATTAAAAACGTTTCACTAACAGAATTAGGGCTTATTTCTTCATAAGGAGCTGTCGTACCCAAGAAACGAATATACAGCATCATGGCCGATAAAATGCTTGTTGACTTGCAAAGTTCTACGTGCATACAGTCAACATACAAACTATTTTCCTACTCGTTCACATATACATTTCAGTCAAAGCATTGACCGTTCAAACAGATTCTATCAATAATTTGAGCTTATTTTTTTAACCATTTGGCAATGGTCTCACTAACACTACGGCAATAAAACCAAGCGATGGTGATCCATCTTTTGCTGCATGAAAAATGGAAGTTATAAAAACGTTTCCGGCCTTAGAAAGCAAGGGCTTTCACCCGCTTCAGTCATTTTTGCCCTTCAGGCGTCCAATCTACCGCTGCCCAGGATACTATCCAGGTCAGTAAGAAGTTGAGCGAGACAAAGATAACTTTGCCTGAGCAACGCATCAAGCGTCCTGCGACCGGAGGCCAAATGCATTAAGCGTTCCTGCGTCCGGGGCCAATTTTGAGAACTATTTGAAAGCGAAGCTGGCAATAAGAACGGCGATCAAGACCCCCTGAATCTACAAAAAAATGTTGGTGTGTCTGCTAAGGAACCATGACGCCGCGAATTATATCGGGGATGCGTTGGTGTTGCTTGCGATGGTAGCCAATTGCTTGGACCATGATATATATGAGTGGCATTTGCAGCCGCTCAAGCGATGTGGAGGCATCATTTAGTACGAAAGCGCAGCAAAAGTTATTGCGAAGCAAACGTGAACGTTTAGTTTGCGCAGCTATTGCAGAGGCAGAAATTATAGCGAGCAAGCTTACGTAGAACACAAATTCGGTAAAAGAAAGAAACTGCAATAAACGAAGGACGTAAAATGAGGGACCTGCGACCTGGGGTTGTTCTTACGGGTGCAGAACCACCAGCTTGCTTCTGCCGTGTCAATGTCTTCATCAAGAATGTGAATAAAAGGAGTCTGTATTATAAAAACGACTAAGACTTCTCGTGCCTACGTCGAATCAAGGATGTGAAGATATTGATGGGGTTGACTGGCAAGGAAATCGACGAAATTGGCCCCGTAGATTGGGTCGGTTTGGTTACGTCTAGCATCATCGACTAGACGCTGTGGGATGTCGCCGTCCTGCTATATTGAAATTGCCAACGACATGAAAAATTTTATGAAGCCATACGAACTGGTTGCCGGTCTGACTTCTGGTGCTGGAGACAAGGTATTTGTTCTTTGATGCTTTCCAGACCAGTGTGACTCCAAGTAGTTTAAGGACCAACGTGCTTTGATGGACGCCCTTGACGAAGAGGTCAAGCAGAATGATCTGCAGAAGCATCAGGATAGCTTTTGACTTTTAATGGCTGCAATAATGTAGAAAAAACGATTGCCTTGTGCAGAACTTTGGGAGATACAAGGTCTCCTTAAAACTGAACGGCAGCCACGAGACAATCCTAATGAAGCGCAATATTGCTCTTACAATGAAACTGGAGCTTAAACGGTGTCAAGGCTATACTGGACTCGCTTAAATTGATCAGTGTGGCACTAGCAAAAGATCTCGGTGAAGCTGTCATTGTTTGGCAATGTGAGCGTTGATTTGAGTACGACAGAGGCCACACCATCTACTCTACTTGTCACGGTGTTTTCGCGGTTGGAACACTTACGATAACAACTTATTGTCCTGGGATCGAACGCGTACCTTAAACCACAGCTCGGAGTGTTACGAGGTGAAGCATCTGACCTAGTGAATGAGGACAGAAGGCGGTGAAATCTCCCGTCATTAAATTGCCGCCTAATTAGTGGATTTCGTTGCCGTTTTCGCTATTACGGAGTTCTACACGCTTCTTGAAGGATACAGAAATACTTATTGTATAGACTCCATCAAGAACGACGTGTTAGCTACACTACGACATTAAAAGAGATCAATGGGCACGGAACTGATGCGAAACGAAAACAAAGCAGCGCTGAGACGGTATGGCAACCGAGGTAAATTTTACGAAGATGATGATGCATCTAACCCGAATGTGATCATGCGTCGTTGGTACTTACGTTTGCATTTCAAATGGGAAGTAGCGTTGCTTCCTTTATTTGTAGTACACAATTCGCTGCCTTATGGGATAAAAGATCAATTTGTGATGCACAAGTCGATTTCGTCAAGCGATACGAAGACTAATTTTGCCGAGGTAGATACACATCTATAGTGCGACAAGATACCTGAGCCATCCGATGCTGTATTCAGTGGTGTGGTGGGATCAGGTCACGATACTGAAGTGCTCCGGTGTTTCTAGAGGGTACCCAGAATTTCTCTCTACTCGATTAATTGCCCAAACGCAAAGTACATGTGGCGTCTACATGGTCGAAACCACTTTTAATGATCCACAAGGGTCTCGAGCAATAAACGACGTTGCGAGAAAATGTTGAAGCCGGCATCAGTCTCAGGGTTCAACATCGATTGAAATACACTTACTACTCGCGCTTTTCGAGTCCATATTGAAACGTGGACAACACATCGTTGGGATTTGACTAGTCTACAAGCCTGGTGTGAAGAGAAACTTATTTAGAGCCGTGCGTGTGTTTGCACCGCTGAGTTACCCTGTCATGACATTGCTGCCGCATGATTGTCTGAGCAGCTACAGAACAAACTTATTGTGAATACAGATTATATTCTATCATAGCTGACACAGCACCTTGTCCTGATCTGCATATCTCGTCACTGCAAAACTATTGTATTGCTTCATCAAAACTTTTTTGGTGTGTCGTTGCTCCACCAGTTCCGCAAGATACCGTCACCAGCGTAGTATCTTCCAGAGTTATCAATGCCATGCGTGAGTTCGTGACCGATGATACAACAAATAGAAGCTAAGTTGCGTGAAAGCGACGACACCCCGCAGTGTTACCTGGTCCGATAAGTTTTTTCTAATATGTCGATCACGAAGGCGCTGCCTTCGTGAAAGCAGCCACTTGCCGCGTATACACGCGTTGCAGTACGCCGTGGTAACGTCGCTGCCCATGGCCTTGATCGGCGTCCGCGCTGGCGCGTTGCATCGGATGCGATAATACATAAAAAGCAGTGTTTAACCGTTACCAAATCGGTGTGGTCGTTCAAACTGTTTTCTAAGATTGAGTGCGCAAATTACTCACTTAAAAAGCGATCACTTTCGTCTATATCGACGCCAAAGCTAACAAAAACGTTGGGCCAATTCAGCGTCAGACACCTCGTCTGCTACATCCTGATATTCTGTCGAGGACATGGGTGGTTTGTGAGCTTGTTAGGTAAGGAGGTTGATTAAATTAATGCGGACGCTCCGAGTAACATTGACAATAGTTCGTTTATACCACTAGCAGGATCGCCTCGTTCGGTTGATAATCGTCCATGACGTGGCCCACGAACTGGGAGCGTCGGCCGAGCGTGAAGGACAAAACGAGACGCTGCTGCTTTTTTGTCTGTCTGGAGACGCGACTTTTTGGAATTGATGAGTTTGTCATGACCTCATGTCATCGTGATGGTAAAGAGAAGAGTTATAGCACATTGATCCCGTAAAAGTCGAACTATGGCTCATGATCCTCGACGCTACGTAAATTTAGCCCTTTGATGCGGCGATTTTGCCATTCGTTTGGCCAAATTGTGCTGGAATTTTTTATCCGCGTCGAGAATGACCCGGCGTTGCGTGCGCCAGATGTTGCGTAGCTGACGGTCGATTATATGGAGCGCATTGTTTGTGCGGTTGCAGCCGTAGTGTCGTAGAAGCGATAGCTTAGGACGCGAGGTGAGATAAAATGAGGTCGTTTGGTGGACGAGGCATTGGGCCACGAACAGAACGAGGCACTGGGCCACGAACAGAACGAACCGCGGCCACGTTAGCATCAACGTCCCGCAAGAGGTGGACGCGTATGTATTTTTGATGTCGTATATGCTTATGAAAGGGCACGATAATTGAGATTCAACCGAAAGTCAATCTATGCTTTTACTGTTGCTGGTAAGCAATTCGCCGCTGTGATTCGATACACGTTGCTCGTAAAGTGAACACTTGTGCCTCAAGGGCTCACATTTTTACGAGTTTGAAAGGACGGCCCTCGATACTGTGTCCGAGACCTTGGTAACAAGGTATCGAACACAGCATCGGCGTCTTGAATCCATCATTTTTTCATTTTGTTTGAATTAGGAGGAGGATTGCGATTTGAGAGGAAACGTTAGCACACGTATGTACCTTATAAACGAGGTGTATTTGTGATTATAAACTAACGTGTCAACAATTGGTTTTTCTCATATAAATTTGGTACCAACGGAGCCTGCGATCCATCTGCATGCATTATACACTGTCATAGCGACACTTGCAATTTTAAGTTGGCCTCACTTCCACTTTGAGCAGAAAAATCCAGTTGCAGTGCAAGCATGCCGGTCTTTAAGGATCTGCTTCTATCTTTGCATGTTGTCTTGACGTCAGCTTACCTTGGTATGCCATGCTAGTTGACACTGTATTCGTCAGCAAGGATATTTCACGAAGTATCAATGCCAGGACCGACGTTTAATTGGTGCGGTAAATTCCAATTTTGGCTTCGTTTCAAATGCGTAGCAATAGGCACGGAGCCGAGCTGACCAAGCAGTTGCAAAGAACAGTTTCGACGATATGTGATAAAGTTTCTGTCGCAAAATCAGGACTGTAACGACGCTAAGCAGAGGATCGGCCTAAGAATTTCAGCCATGGCATCGTGTCCATTGGACAGTGATGTCTGGGCAGAGTGCGACGCTCATTATCGTAAGCTCTGGATGCCTTTACACAAGTCATCGATCTCGAGTTTGACGGGTCCTCGACTAAGCTGTAGCTTAACACTTTTTCGATAAAGATTGCAAATGTCAGCATTTCAGCCTGCAATACGTAGCGATATTCAGGTACATAATGTGAAGTTATACTTCCTGGCGTTGCTGAATACTTGCTCTGCAGCTAAATGTGTACCGAATAAACATGTCTTCCGGACCCTAACCGCGATGTTACCGACCTCCTTTGCTGTGTTTTCCTGAAGCTCCAGAGTCTCTATCACGCTCATTGTGAACATACACAGCTGATCGTTGACTATATCTGCCCTAAAATCTTTTTCTCACGTTAGCTTAGTCAAAATAACTTATAAGATGGCGGTGTCTCGAAAATCTTGGAATGTGTGCACGTAGTTGCACCTGAGTGCAACATAATACAAAATTCTATATAAATCGTGACGCGACACACAGACGAACAACTATACCTGCTCTTTTAGAGTATTTGTCGTGTCGCCACACAGGTTGTTCCGCGTTTTTGCTCTGGCCTTCAGTTCCAGTTCTACCAGCAGCACAAACATAGCTGAAAAAGAGGAGAATAGGCCAGAAACAGACACATACAGGGGACGCCAAGCAGGACACGACATCTATGGATCTCTCCATGATACTCAGCCCTGCACTCGAGGAAGAGTCGCGCGCGTTGGGGGGTCCACCTCCGCGCGAGTCCAACCGCAATTGGAGTGCTGATGAGCTCCAGTGTGCCGTGGCAATCCTCCAGGACTTTCAACAGCCGTGTGACGAGCCCCCTGAGGATGCTCAGCACGGCATTCGTGGCAAAAGTGACGCCAAAAACCCTTTTCCTACGCGTGAACAAGAGGAAGGGGGCAATGCTATTAAGCGGAGCATCGCTTGCTCAGACGATGACATCCGAGCGGCAGCTGGCCGTGAAGATGGAACGAAAATTAAAAAGGGACAAGGCATGCAGCAACTGGTCCTTACGGACACCATGTCAAAGCTGGATCTACTGGTCCAAGCAGATGCCGTCATCGAGCATCACCACCCAAAGCTTTCGTCATCACTTGCTGACGAAAAGTCCGAACAACTGCGCAGTGGAGTGTGGTCTCGCGCCGAGGAAAAGTACGCCGCCAGACTTGTCGCGTACTTCTTGGAAGGGCTTTTGGACTTGCCAGAGGGTATAACTCTTCGCAAGTATGTCGCTGAGAAGCTCCACTGCAATCGACGTCGTGTCTCGATGAAGCTAGGAACAGGATTGTTAGCAGGTCAGAAACTTCCGAGGAAAGTTGGTGCCTCAGTATTTGTTGCTGCTGATCCTCCTCCAAGTGATAAGCAACGACACGAAATCGCGAACGTGCTAGAAGAGCTTCGTCGGGCTAGCCTCAACTCTGGACCATGGAACAGCGTTCACAACGACGACGACGGCGACGGCCATGGTCATTTACAGCGCAGACTGTTCGAGCTGCATCAAGAAAATAAAGACGACAGTGCTATCCGTCGTCTTAAAAAAATCATGCATCATGCTAGCATGAAAAAGTCAGCGTTCAAGTCCAAACGCTGCAAGCCTAGGATCATCCGTACGGGCTTTGAGTCTCCTGAAGAAGAAGAGTTTGTCACTACCATGTTCGAGTTCTTTATGGATGGGTCGCTGGACCTACCCGAGGGTACAAAGCTCGTGCGTTACCTGTGTCAGCAGTTGGGCTGTACACCGATGCAGTTGTCCATGAAATTAGCGCCGCGGCGCATGGGTGAGCGCAAGTTCCCCGATAATGTCGGTCATATCCGATATTTGCGCAAGGTAGCAGGAGGTGCCTCACGCGATAGCTCGGACAACGATGATGTTTCTGAAGAGATTTTCGAAGTGGAAAGTCGCATTACTGAGCTGCGTCTAGCCCATGAGGAAGCCCACAAGAATGCTTCTCCTCCAGTAGCACTGCCCATTAAGTGTGAGCGCAAGATCAGCACGGCTAGTGTGTCTAGCACGGGGACTGCTAGTGTGGCTAGTACGCGAAGTGACAGTCCTGCGCGCTCCTTCCGGCGCAGTGGACCGTGGTCTCAAGATGAAGAGGTGTACGCGGCGGCGCTTATTGATTTCTTTTTCAAGGGGGTGCTAAAGATCGCTGAAGGTACTACGCTTCGTGCTTTTCTGTCATCGCGACTGTGCTGTAATCCCATGCGCATTTCCAAGAAGCTCGCAAGTGAGTGTATTGCCGAGATACGCATCCCGAAAAAGTTAGGAAGTTCCGCTTACGTGCGTAATGACGAAGTGTCCCCTAAGGAGCAAGATGAGGCGGAAGTGGTTCTGCGTGGCCTACAGCGTGTGTACATGTACTCGAGTACAGCTAAGAGGGACAGCGTCTCGGGCTCCAAGCGCCCACGTCAATCTCGTGGCCCTCTTTCTCAACAAGTGACTACCACGATTGGTATAGACTCTGACACCGCTGGGTTGGAGTCCGATTCACATTGTGTGGTAGCCTCGTACGCTTGCGAAAGAAGTCCCATGAAGTTTCAGAAGACAGCAAAGATACACACTCCAGCCCAAGAAGAGCGAAAGCGATACGTTAATGTGCCCCACGGTCCCGCGCTTGTAGTACCGGCGCTGCTTAAGGAACAACTGGCTTAGGGTCCAAGTTAGGCCTGCAGGCAGACCAAGTTATAAATCTCTTTCTCTCCCTTTGCCGGTTGCATGTAGATACTAAGTTTGACCTCCTTAATGTGTCCAGTCATTGCCAATGACAGGAGATTCTTGATGATATGACGATAAACAAACCTTAATGTAACTATCTCGTGTAGAAGGCTCATGAGTCTAGAACGATGATGCACAGCACTAAGGAAAATATCACTTGCCTTTTAGCTGATAGGTTTTACAGGCACAAACCGCTTGCCTTCAACTAAAGGATTTTAAGGCGCATCCGGTTTCTTACTGTTTGCCATCGTAAAACAGAAAGTACACGCTGAACAGGAACACACCGACCATCATCGAGAAGGCTGAGGCGTAGTACGGGTAGGCGGCTGGGATGAAGCGCTCGTATTCGTCATGCTTATATGGGCGCAGCGAAACCTGCGTCGTCGTGTAGATCGTCGACAGTCCCAGACGGCGGTACATCACACGAAAAAGGAAGATGCCATACACGTCAGGCGCCTCGAAAGTCACGGAAAAGTGCCCCTTATTGTCGTGCGTCAACGTCGTACGCACGTGAGGGTCTAGCATGACGAACTCCAGTTGCACGTCGTCAGCCTCGTATGGCAACCATTTTCCATCCTTGAGCTCGTGCAGGTCCAACGAGTATGTAAGATTGTCCTTCACACGGTACACAAGCGAGTCGCGCGCCACCTCGGCGTCCGGGTACAGCGTAATCGGCTGGTCGCCACGATTCGCGTCGCTCAGCATCTTAGCCGGTTGCGATCCGTCTTCACGGTGATGCTTCACATTGGTCATGCGGAGCACACCGCTCTCCTGAAATCCCCACTTGGTCACAGCGTCGACAAACTCGGCGTTGGCAAACTTCTTGTTGTCCAAGTACTTGTCGCTAAAGAGGTCAAGCGAGCCAGAAAAGATGAGGCGGGCGTTGTTGCGGCCCTGCACCGCAGTCACAAGACCAATCTGGTTGCCGAAAAGCAGATCACGAGATACAACCTTGTTCGTGATGGGCTTGACCGGATTGGCCGAGTACGCGCTGGCAGGCGCCATGAGCGCGTGAAAAGCCAGGACATTGTTGGGCTCGAGTGACATGCCCACGCCAGAAAAGGCGACAGGCTTGGGCGTTAAGGCCAGTGATCCAACTACGCGTTCCGAGGCCACAAAGTCCTCGGCAGCAATCACCGAATTGTAAATGTCGTCATCATCTGCAATGGGATTGACGTGATCCAACACCACGTTGCCTTTCTTTTCAAACTCGACGCCGCACTCGAGTGCAAAGTCACGCTGGACCTTAGTAATCTTCTTGCTAGCAGACAGCAGCACGTTTCCTCCTTCTTCTACAAAATGCAACAAGTCCGACTTGCGTAGAGATCCCAATGCCTTCTGAGGTGTAAACAGCACTAGATTCTCATACGCACGCTCTCCATAGATCTCCAACTCGAGCGACTGCTTCTCACTCTCCCCACTGTTAAAGAAGCTTAGCTCATGACCTCGGTCTATACACGAACGCAAAGAAAGAGAGGGTGAGTACAATGCGTCTAAAAGCGTCTAATTCGCGCAATCTTGTCACACCTTCGAGTAGCTTAAAGAACTTGGAGTGCGTCTTCTGCAGTTCAGGAGATCCCATCACCACAGCAGTGCGTGCAGCATGTGCTACGGTCAACGTAAGCACCACATACAACGTCAACAGAACCAGATGAAGAGCCATGATGATGATTTATGAGGTCGAGGATTGATCTCGAAAGTGCCGCGTGTCACGATAAACCGTAATATTTTTCAGTGGATCGGTCATTTATTTTGTGCCAATAGTATTGTGGGTATGCATTTGGATTTAAATTTAATATATTATTGAGATTTTAGACATTGTCATTAATTGCGAGCGGGTAGAACAACCAGCTTAATGAATGTCCTTTCTTACTCAGTGGAAATTTCTCAAAAAAGTTTGGGAAATGGACTCTGAAGATAAAAATATCCACAACATAATCATGGACCCTCCTCTCATCCATCTGGTCACTCACTCCTCACACATTGAAAGCTAAAGCTCGGTGAGGCAAAGGATGTAAAGAAATGTGTAGACGGGCACTTATACGAAGTTGCCTCGTGCTACTAGCACACACCTTCAGCACAAGCGAGGAAGCGGTTAGACCGTCTTACCTTCGCGTGCGAGGGTGGTTGGGAGGTTGGTCGACTGCTTAAGCAGTCGTGCCTCTCGCTTAAGCGAGAGTGCAACGAACTTCTTAACAAGAAGGCACCGACGTCACGCAGAAGCTTTGCAACTTCTCGTGCGTGGTGCGTTTGTTTGAGTAAATTCAAGACTGAGCTATATTTAATGAATTATAATTAAATATCTACTTAACTACTGATTGGCTATATATGTATATAGATCGGATACGCGACTCTTAGAAGCGTATCCTGTCGCATGAACTTAAATCTAGATTTAAGATCGCAACTGACGTCTTTCTGAGACGTCGCGATGCCTAGCTTCAACTAGCGTCATCCCTTCTAATGTGAATCCATCAATGGATATCACATTCACGAGGGTGGATCACATTTGTGTGTCGCACCCAAGTGACTGGTCAAAAGTAATCATGGATACTTTTAGACCAAACATTAAGTATATTACTTAATTTTTACGTGTAACTCGATGCCCTGTTACACCATCCCCCGTT